AGGAGGAAACGGAGGGGACAAAGGGGTAGGAGGTGGAGAGGGGGATGGGGCGGAGGTGGAGGAAGGGGAGGAGGACGGGGCGGGTGAGGGGGGTGCGGAGGGTCACGGCTGGGAGGAGAGGCGGGGTTCCCGGGGGGGGGTGCCCAGCTACGTGGCCCAGGGGCCCAGGTGGGTGCAGAGGCCCGGCCCCCCCCCCACGCTTTTGAAGGAATGGGGGAGCACCGACGAGGTCGGCCGACCGGTGGGGACAGGATGGAGACACAGCGGGACGTGTCTGGGAGAGATCTAGAGTGAGCAGGGATCATCTAGAAAAGCCTCTAAGCATCCCGGGAGAAAAAGAAGAGACAGAGACTGGAGGGAGGGAAAGAGGGAAGAAACACACCACTGGAGGCCGACCCTGAGATTGGGAAGGGCAGAGGTGAGAGACCCTGGGCGATCCAGGGCCTGGGGGCACCCCCTCCTGCTGCCCCCAGTCAGTCTCAGGGAGCTGCCGGCCCCAGCCTCTCCCTCCTGCCTCCCCGGGCCTCTGCCGGCTCCACACCTCGGTGGCTCAGCGGGCCAGACCCACTCCTCTGTCGCTTCTCACCTCCCCAGTCACCACTGAGCACCCACTGTGTGCCAGACACAGAGCCAAGCCCCAGGGATCCCCAGTGACCTAAGCCAGCAAATCTCCAGTCCCCAGCACACATGGACGAGGGAGGACAGAGAACAAAGGGAATGTTTGTTGACTTAAGTTGTTCCGCAATCAGGCCCTGGAGATAAAGCAGGGGGGTCTGACCAGGCTGTGACCGTGGGGCAGTGTGTCCAAGCCAGGGAAAGGCCCTGCGAAGGGAGGCTTAGGTCGCCCTCTGGGCACCTGAAAGAGGCCAAGGGTGGTTGGGGTGGACGCCTGGGGCAAGGAACTGGACCCCTCAGCCCATCCTCTGGGGCACCCCGCATCCTTGAGTCCTCCTGCCACTCTACCCCCCTCACCAGTGTCCCCAGAAAGGCTAAGGGCCTGGGCCTTTATGCTCTGCGCCGGAATCTGGTTCTGGGCTCTGTGCCCTTCAAGGAAACACTGGACCTGGAGCCTCAGTTTCCCCCTCAGTACCCGCCTCCCGCGGTGCTTTGCAGGGATGAGTTGGGAGATGCCGTGAAAGCCCAGAGTCCACCAGGCCTAAGTGACCAGCAAATGGCAGCTGTGCCAATTCTGCATCTTTGTGATTCCCTGGACTTTGCCCATTCTGGTCCCTCCTGGTTGGGCAGAATGGTCCATGTTCTGCAACCTGGACACTGTCTTGCCCTTCCCTGGCCTATTCTCCTGGCTACAAGATAGCAAGAAAGTAAGACTTTTTTTTTTAAGATTTAGTTAATTCAGGTACACAAGAATTGGGGTACAGGCCAGACGTGTGGTGGTGAGAGGCTTCACCAGAGACAGAGTGGGGAGCAGAACAGACAGATCCACTGAAATCCACTGCTGAGGGGAGCAGCGGGGAGACGGGGGAGGTCTGCTGTGCCCTGGGGGGCCCTCCCTGGCCAGGGATTGAACTCGTTGTGCCACCAGGGAGGGCCGGGAAAGTGAGACCGTTTTGTGGACCCTGGTCACCTTTTTGTGTCTCCTCACAAAAAGACCACATTTAGGCCAAACTCGATGACCACTGAGGAAGGAGGCAGATGGGGGAGTACTTCAGGCAGCAGGGGCCGGCTGACCTGCCCTCAGCGTTCAGTGGTCACATCCCACTGCTGGCTTCTGTCAGGAGGGTGTCTCCCCGCCTGCCGGAACCCATAAATCCTGCCCCTGCTGCTGAATCCAAGAGGCCAAATAGGAGATGTGGGCCCCCGGGACCCTGTTCTAAGGGGTGTGTGGGCATAGGGCGGGATCAGTCTTGAATCACCTAGGTCTGGGGGTTCTCCAGCCCTGAGGCCATCAGAATCATGGCACAGAAGGGAAATAGAGGCACAGAGAGCACCAGGTTGGGCCCCACACCCCAGATCCAGCCTGGAAGGACCCTTAGGAAGGGAGGGAGGGGAGGAACCTTCCAGAAGTCTCAGTGAAAGGACAGTCTGATGGGAGCAGAGTGGACATGAGTTCACCCCATTCCCGGGACTCCCCTCCCCTCCCATCCTGTGCCAAGGACCTCCAGCCCCCCTCAGCGCCTGCTCCTCCCTAGGCCTTCCCGGAGTTGCTCTGCTCCTCCCTTCTCCCCCTCTTCCCTCCCCATCCATCTTGTCCTCGGATCCTGCCTCCTCCCCTTCTCTCCTCCTCCCTCCCCTCCCCTCAGTTCTGCCATTCACCCGCTCGCCCTCCTCCCATCCTCTCGGGAGCCCCCTCCCGCGCCATTCTCTCTCCCCCGCGCGTCCCCGC